CAATTTTTTTTCTTCAGGAAAACACTTTGTTTGTAGGCTAGACAATGGTTTGGGTCAATCCTCACCGATTGGGCTGAAAGGTACATGTGCTGATAAAACGAAACTTATGCTCACAATTTTTAATGAATCATGATATATATACCTCTTTTTTTTTTTTCTTTTTTCTTTTTTTCTTTTTTAATAAGTACATCTACTTTTTATTTTTTTTAAAAATATTTTTAATTTTACACTCCTAATATTTAATTTAACACTCTTAAACTTGGATCATAAAGTAGCAACAATGAAATGCACTTTCAAATTTTACCTAAAAAAGTTTAAAATTAATTTATCTAATGAAATATAACAAATATAATATATATCTTGTTTGTTGCGTATGGTTTTGTTTAACGAAAATTAATAGTAGAAATTATTTTTGAAATATTATAAAAAGTAAGAAAATAAACAATTAAAAAATTATAAAAACAAAATTTATATTTAAGTATTTTTTAATTATTAAATGTGGTGTAAAAAGAATTGTTTGAAACTTAAATAAGGTTAGTTATTTCTAGTCGTTACCCTAATTTTTATGTTTCATTACTCTTTAATAACCATGTTAATTTTCATTGGAAAATTGGATTGATTGACCTATAGTAAGGTCTTTGCTTCCAAAATCTATAAGATTCAAACCTAAAAAACTTTTCTTAAGAAGATCGAATCTTGTACTACCAAGAACAACAACTTATTAATTATGATTCATTATTCTCAAATAATATATAATAAATTTAAACTAAAATAATAATTTAAATTTTTTATAACATAATAACATGTCGTGCATGAGACTGGTCACCACACTGGTTACAATTAATTTTCCGAAGCACACTTTTAATTATGGCAAGGTAACATTAACTTTTATAGTATTTTGTTTCCTCAATTTTCTGCTAACTTAATTACTCATGTATTAAACCAAATACTTTTAAAAGCTTTCTAATCAATACTCAATTCCTTTATTAATTACCTAATTTTTTAAATTAAAAGTTTCAAATATTTTACTCTATATATTTTATTTTATTATCTCGCCTTTTTTGAGTCATTGTATTATTGGTGAAAAATATTCGGATCACTGTCAGTGAAGTCTCATTTCTCAACGTTTTTCCCATCTAAAAATTTTCAGTAATCAGACATGAAATGTTGCTTAAAAATTATGAGTCCATCTCCACATAGCAATAATAAGCATTTTTTCTTTACAAGTGGGTTTTATTTTATAGAATTAAATTAGATTTTATAATGATATTGTAATAAAGACAAATGTGTCTGCATTGTGAATTCCTTTATCATCTGCATAATACAATTGATATTAATATGTTATGATTTATAGATTAATATGGTCCCCTAACTAAGTGTGATAAGTGCGGTCCCTGCATGACATTGGTTCAATTGATAATGACATTCAATGTTTGATTTTTCGTTTTACATGATCATATGTCATTGGTTTCATAATTGATTTTGGGATAATTCTAAACAAAAGAATGTTAAAACCAAAAGCCAAGAATTATTGGGTTAACACTTAATTTATAATATTGTTGATCAAATCCTTAGTAATCCGGTGATATAGACTGTTTGTTCCGTAAGAAAAACAACACTCAGAAAGAAACACTTTAGAATAAGAAACTAGTTTGAATGTGGTATGTATGGAGCATATTGATGCAACTAGATTTTAAAGGTATTAAATCCGATTACACGTTATTCAATGCCTCAATCAAGTCTACAATTTTATTTTCAGCTGCTTATGGCAATTAATTAACGTACACCCACCAAAGTTGTTGCATTTGCATTAAATAAACCCTAACCCCCTAATTGCTGGCCACCTTCCCTGCTCCCCTACAATAACCAAAACACATCATAATTATATATTTCTAATAAAATTGATATTATACTCATTATTATAAACGTGTTTTTATATGATTATTGTTATATAAAAATAAATTTAAGATCCTACCGAAGATATTAATATTACATATATTCTATCAATGTTAAGAAGACAAGATATAAATAATTAAAAAAAGATTTGTTTACTCAAAGAGTAAGTTTAAACTTATTTCGTCTAATAACTCATGTTTTACATCAAATTTCAAATATCTAATCGTTAAATTTAAAGTTCGTAATACAAAGATCAAGTTTATAATTTTTAAAAAAATTGAAGATTATTTTATACTTCATTTTATTAATTCAAATCAACGTATAAAATAATTTTATAACTATCTGTCAATTTGAATTAATGAAACGAAATCTCAAATGATTTTTAAATTTTTTAAAAATTTATAGACTTGATCTATGTATTAAAACTTTAAATTTAATGGTTAGATCTTGAAATTTGACGTATAACATGAGTTATTGAGCAAAATAAGTCTAAATAAACTTATTCTTGAAGTAAATGGATCCCTCATCAAATAATTATATTAGTCTTCATGAAAATATATTATAAAATGTATTGGTAACTTATATCTTTGATTTAGAATTTATGTACGATCTTCACAGATTCAACTCATGATTCTAAATTACTAAGTGATATTTTGATAAAAAAGAATATATTTAAAGTGTTCTAAGGTAATTTTTTTTCAAAATGATAAATATGTTTTCTTCTATTTTTAATTTTATTAATTATATATATATTTATTGATGGGGTTATTTTTATGGTATTTGTCTGAGAGAATATTTTATGAGTTATTTTTATAAGGTTATTACACAAACATACTCCACAATGATGAGATATTGTCCGCTTTGGGCCTTAGCCCTCACGGTTTTGCTTTTGGTCATCACCCAAAAGGTCTCTCAATCATTGAAGCATGTTTGTATTATATAAGTTATTATTATTTGTCATATTTTATCTATGTGGGACTTGTTTGTATCCCAACAATCCTCCTATCAAACAAAGAGATTATAGGGTTATTGGTTGTCACCGAATCCAACCTGCGGCTGTGATACCACTGATGGGGTTATTTTTTATGGTATTTGTCTGAGAGGATATTTTATGAGTTATTTTTATAAGGTTATTACTCAAACATACTCCACAATGATGAGATATTGTCCGCTTTGGGACTTAGCCCTCACGGTTTTACTTTTGGTCATCACCCAAAAGGCCTCTCAATCATTGAAGTATGTTTGTATTATATAAGTTGTTATTTGTTGTATTATTTTATCGATGTGGGACTTGTTTGTATCTCAACATATATATATATATATATATGCATTTAGATAAATATTTTATATTGAATTATGGATTTCTTAATCGACACTAATTCGCTGTTCCATTTCAAAGTTCGTAAAATGATTTATATATAAGATTTTACAAGTCATGGTAATAACTTTTAAAATGAAAATGAATTATTCAATTTTCGTTATGTGGTCTTAAGAAACATGATAAAAAAATGTGTATTTATAAATCATATTTCACAATTTGTAAGTCAACATTTCTATTTCTATTCGAGACAGAGCTTGTATTAAAGAAATTAAATATTTTTAAAATAGTGAAATTAAATTGAACATTTAAAATAATTGAATTTGGTCATTTAATTTTCAAATGATGTTTAATTTTACCCTTCCATTAGACTTCATTAACACCATTAATATATTAATTTAGACGAAAGGATAACATTTAACATGTTTAAAAAATCAGAGGACCAAATTGATCCATTTAAAAATAGTAAGACAAATTAAATCTTAAAAATAAAAAGAGTAAACAAAAGTATAATTTAGCTTTAAATAAATGAAAAATGAATACATATGGTAGAACTTGGTTCAAACTCGACTCAACTTAATAATTTTTTTGTTTGATTTGAATTTAATATGAACCTTTCTTTTTGTTCAAATTTAACTTAACTCAAGCTTTCAAACTTTATTTAGCTTATGAATTCAAATTGCATGAATCAAGAGTCAAAATTATAAATTTTATACATTTTAAAATTTTAATTTATTAATCGATTTTAAATAAAATAATCATTTGTTTTTTTAAAAAAAATAAAACAAAACTTATTTTATTAACTTTATAAGGCAACAAAATATGACAAAACAAATATAATTATAGTCAAATTTTACATAAATAAAAACTTTCACGAAGCATAGAACAATAGCAAACACATTTTATAATGATAAAAGTGAACACCTCTTCTCACACACACCTTTAATCAATTCATAAATGAGACCAGTTCAACTATATACAAGTCAAATTTAATATTTGTTTATCAAATTTAATTTTTAATTTAAGTCGAATTCATTTAATTCATAAACTAAATTCATCGATTTAAAACATCAAATTAAGTTTGAAATTGTTTACGAGTAAAATACAAATGCACGTACAAGGCTCTACATTATTTTTCGATAATATAATCATAAAAAAAAGTAGACGTTCTAATACAGTTCGATGTTTCGCATGCGATAGATGTGAGTTTACAATACAAAAATGTTTTTTAGACACGTATTATTTTATGCAATATTTAGAGCATGATTAGTAACACACTTAAGAAATTTATAAGCTTTTTTTATTAACATATAAATTAATTTGATCAAAAATAATTTTATTTGGTACATATGAGAGTTTATTTTAAGTGTTTATAACTTATTTTTTAAAACTAATTGAAATAACTTATAGTTTATATAGTACTCCTAGTTTCTTCTCTCTCTCTCTCTTTTAAATTCTATTTCTTTATTTATTTTCATTAATTTACTTTTTTTTTTTTAATTTTTAAATCATTTTACCTATGTGATTTTTTTACTCTATCATCAAAAAAATATGTTATTTTATATTAATCAAATAACTTATCAATTAATCTTATTAAACACTTTTAATTCAATCATTAATTAATGTTTTCAAAATTTCAAACTCCTAACTTAAACTTATAAACACACTAATTTCACCCAACATATATAAGTATGATACATTATATCTTATGATAGGAAAAAGAGGAATAAAGAAAAATGAAGAAAAATTGAGATGGATCATCTTTGGCTTCTCATCCTCTCTATTTATCTCTAATTTTCCCTACCCTCTACGTTACTTTTTCACATTTTCTTCAAATTTTATTTTACGTTAATATATCCAGGAGAGGCAACACTACATGAAACGGTTCCAATTTAAAAAAAGAGAGGTGTTTTGATAGAATGTTAAAAAGAAAGGTACATGTTTAAATATCATTACTCTACATGACTGCATTTTAGAAAATGAATATGGTTTTTACCTGAAGCCAAACTTGATGGTTAGATCCCAAATCCGGCAGATAGATATTCTGAGGAAGCAAAATGACAGTCAGTTAAATATTAAATAATTTATCTATTGGATACCAATAATGTGGGTGTGTTTGTTAGTATAGCACAAAGCAACTATATAGAGAGCACATGAAGCATTACGTTTTACATTACAAGTGAAACAAGAAAGACAATAAAGTAGTGTGATGGAATACGAGGTGGTGGGTTTATGGGTGTTAGCCATGTTGGTGTGGATGGGGTGGGCAATGGTTATGGAACGTAGGCAGCATCATGGTCTGCTTCCACCAGGACCAAGATGTTGGCCAGTGGTTGGCAACATTTTCCAACTAGGCTGGTCACCCCACGAGTCCTTCACAAAACTGGCTCACAGACACGGTCCAATCATGACCCTCTGGCTAGGTTCCATGTGCACGGTGGTTGTCTCATCCAGCCACGTGGCTCGTGACATGTTCAAGAAGCATGACGTGGTTCTTGCTGGGAGGAAGATTTATGAGGCCATGAAAGGTGACCAAGGCAGTGAGGGCTCCCTCGTTACTTCTCAATACAACTCTCACTGGCGCATGCTAAAGCGCTTGTGCACCACTGAGTTCTTTGTCACCAGTCGCTTAGACGCCATGCGGGGTGTACGTGCCAGATGCATACACCGCATGATGCACTTGATGGAAGAAGCTAGTGAATCTGGCACCACTGCTGTTGATGTTGGTAGATTCTTTTTCTTCATGGCTTTTAACCTTATTGGGAACCTCATATTCTCCAAGGACTTGTTGGACTCCGAAACGGAGAGAGGGGATACATTTTATTACCATGCAGTTAAGGTTATGGAGTATGCTGGGAAGCCTAATGTGGCAGATTTCTTGCCAATTCTAAAGTGGCTTGATCCTCAGGGTATAAGGAGGAAGACACAATTCCATGTTAACAAAGCCTTTGATATAGCAGGGTTGTTCATCAAAGAGAGGATGGAAAGTGGTTGCAGTGGATCAAAGGAAAGCAAAGACTACTTGGATGTCCTATTGAACTTTCGTGGGGATGGTGTCACCGAGCCCTGTACCTTTTCTTCAAGAACTATTAACGTTGTTGTCTTTGTAAGTCCACCGCTTCATATAATTAAACATTTGGTTTGGTAGCGTGGTAATGAGTAGATTAATTAAAATATTTGGTTATAGGAAATGTTCACTGCAGGGACAGACACCACAACTAGCACAATGGAATGGGCGATGGCAGAGCTTCTGCACAACCCAAGAGTGCTAAGGAAAGTGCAGATGGAGTTAAGGAGCAAAATAGGGCTAGATAGGAATATGGAAGAAAAGGACATAGAGAATCTTCCCTACCTCCAAGCAGTGATAAAGGAGACACTGAGACTTCACCCACCCCTTCCTTTTCTGGTTCCTCACATGGCCATGGACTCTTGCAACATGCTTGGCTACAATATTCCCAAAGAGTCCCAAATTTTAGTGAATGTTTGGGCAATTGGGAGGGACTCCAAAGTGTGGGATGCTCCCTTGTTGTTCTGGCCTGAAAGGTTTCTGGAGCCAAACACGGTGGATTACAAGGGACGACATTTTGAGTTTATTCCCTTTGGTTCGGGTCGAAGAATGTGCCCAGCCATGCCACTTGCCTCTCGTGTACTTCCCCTGGCACTAGGCTCCCTCTTGCACTCTTTTGATTGGATTTTGCCCGATGGCCTTAAACCAGAGGAGATGGACATGACAGAGGGAATGGGAATAACGCTAAGAAAAGCCCTTCCTTTGAAAGCCATACCAGTGCGTTACAGAGGACCTCTTGTTGCAAATGAGTAAAACTGTAATGGCATCAAAGCGTTCGCCATAAGTTAAAACCAAAAAAAATAATGTTTAAATTATCTATCGCCTTCAAAGACTAGTATAGTTATCATGCACAATGTTATGTCAGAATTGAAGTCACAAAGAACATGGTTTGAGTGGCGTTCTAATATCGCCGATCAGATGTATTCAATGTAAGATATCTATATATATGATGATGCACCGACTAGACGTTTCTTTCATCATGAACACCAGCTAACAGGTCTCCTTGGTCGTGTTCTGGCTCAAAAGCTTTGAAAGACATCTTACCTGAGGATATCCTTGTTACAATACCAAAAAATGTTTGGATGAAGAACGATATACCAGAAAAATTCATACTGTTGGAGTGTTTGCTGTTTCTGTTAATATAATGTAGCCCTTCTAGGTGCTGTTCAGCTCGCTATTCTTATCCTGCTAAATTCCGGGAAAAAAAATGGCAAAAACAAATGCCATACTATTCAAACACAAAACGAATAGTAAGGAAGTTAGGGAGATTTGATTGTCGTATCAAACAAGCAATAAGTGAGTGCCGCAAATTTTACCCACAGAAATCGAAGTACTAATCATGGTTGTCAAACTCGCGAGTCAACTCGTAGACTCGTACGAGTTTACGATTCCAGGGCAGCAAAACGAGTTGACTCGTTAACAGACTCGTTTTTGGGTAGACTCGGGTAGACTCGGTCAGAATCGCGAGTCTGAGCCCGAGTCCACGAGTCTGGTTACGTTTTTTTTTTACTCCTAAATGGCCCAAAACGACGTCGTTTTTGCCTAGGGTTAGTTAGTGAGAATACCAATTCCCTTGCGTGCGAGCTTCCTCCACCATTCTCACGTTTTTGAGTCTCCCCCTCCGCACAATTGGAACGCCAACGCGCAGCTTCGCCTCAACGAACGCACGTCTCCGCCGCTGCGAACGCACGTCTCCGCAGCTGCGAACGCACGTCTCCGCCGCTACGAACGGTGCCGCAATCGAACGCCGCCGTATACGAACGTGCGTCTGGGAAGGACGCGATTCTGTTTTCTCTCCCTCCGCCGCATCTTCTGCCGCATACGAACGCCTCATTGCAGCTTCCAGCGCCATCGTGAGTGTTACTTCTCAGTTCTCACTCTAACATTTTTGGTTTTTGGTTGTTTATGTATGGTTAAGATTTGTATTATGACATTTTATTGTTGTTATTTGACTTATTTCAGACTTAGAATGTTGAAATAGTGATATCATATTGTGTGTTCATGTTTTTTAATATATTTTAATATTAGGTAGACTCTTACGAGTCTACGAGTCGAGTCTACGAGTCGAGTCTACGAGTCGAGTCTACGAGTCGAGTCTACGAGAGCTCCACGAGTTTGTGTAGACTCTCGAGTTTGACAACCTTGGTACTAATACTAGTAAAATCCCTTGCAGATAAATGTGATCAAGTTCAGCCTTCACCCCCACCACCAATGTGTACGAACCATTTTCAGAATGAAATGGTATGGTGCTAGTCCAGATCAATTACCCAAATTCACTAACATAACAACACACTTAAAAAGAAATGAAGAAATTTTCCATTAAGTTGAAATGCAAAGACAGAAAAGGGAGCTACATCATCCATTCTGCCATAATAAATTCAACCTTACAAAAGGCATACTACCAGACCATGGATCTACAAATATTTACATCCTATATACATCACAAAAAACTCAGTTTGATATGCCTAATATAACTAGTCATGTAAACTATAAGTTGATCTGGTACCTAACATGCTATTTCCTAATGAAGCCTACGCTTACACCTACGTAGAGCCCCTTCTCTGGGAGCATTTTCCTCATCACATTCGGGAGATTCTTCAACAACACTTTCATCCTGCACAACCAATCCTCGGTTCCGTGATAGCTTCCTGATAGGTGTTAAAGCCAAAGCAGGTTGGGAATTGTCACCACCCATCTCCTGAGAATCAACTGCAGTGCAACATTGAATCCGATTTGGCATTAACTCTTTTCCATCGGGCACTAAATCTTTCATCATCTGAAAACAATGTTGAGAGTTACAAAGAGAGTTGTAACATGCCTAAGCCATTAAATGAAAAATGCATTATGAACCATAGTATTATTTGCCTACATGACAAAACTGTAAATAGAAGGTTAATTAACTGTAATAGCAATGTAAAGAGAAGGTTAATTAACTGTAATAGCTGGTAAAACCCAAAGCTTTTTAACAATCATTTTGTTTTTCATTTCTCTGAAGGCTGTTTGGTTGAACAACGCATTATACAATAAACATTCAAGCTGTTGAGAAAAAAAAAAAAAATCACTCAAGAAATTATTAACACTTTTCCCTTTTTAAACAAAGATGATGCTGTAACACTAACATGACTGCATTCCCCTCTAAAAATCAATTAATGTATTAAATTCCCGATATGCTCCTTGAATTCTCACTTTACAAGCATTGGACATTTGGACCCGTTCATACCTTCCAATCTTTGTAATCATATCTGAATACAAAATGAGTGTAAGAAACTTCTTTTGACGATACTAAGTTGGCAGCTGGAGCGTTTTTAGGTGCTGAAAAGAAGACAGCGTAAGTATCCATTGTACAAAAAAAGAAACTGAAACAAGTATTCAGTTGATTGAAGTGGAAACACAATCTTACAAACATAGTGTGAACGATCTTCATCCAGACTAATCTCAGCACGACCATCTTTCACTAGGAATGACAGGGCAAACAAGTTTTCCACAGTCTGAGCAAAAGACGTCTTGTTCATAATTAGGTTTTCAAGCCGTACACGCTTTGCCCTCCTTAAGATGTCAAACATAGTCGCCATGTTTTTGTCCGTATCAGTCTTTTCCTCTGTCACAGCCTCATCAAGCTGCTAGAAACAAACAAGGAATAAATAAAAAAGCACTTGCAAGCATATACATAAATAAATTCTTGATCCTTTTCACAAACAAATAAATCACTATATTAAACATCCAGTGTGCATTCGTGCAACTTACAAGAATCTTGTTCATTTTATTTTCACGCACATTATGAACATAGTCAAGCATTGTTTTGCAGGAATG